ATAAATCTCCAATTGATAATTTTAAATATTTTACTATAGATGGAGATTCATATCCAACATAAATTCTCATTCTTCTTGAGGACCCATTTTTGTGAAGTGAGGTGGAGAAATGGGTACATAAATTATACATTTAAACATCCTTGGATGGTAAATAATTGGTTATTGACCGCAAACCGGTTGAATAGGGGAGAACTCATGATAACTAGTTGTCATTATGCATATAAGTGATGTTGCATGTAAAATTGCATGCCCCATGTCAATATAAGAAGTTTAGAATGCTTTAGTAATGGTCTTGCAATTAATTAAAGGTGTTTGATTAACGACTCAGCTAAACCATTTTGTGTATGAACATATGCAACATGATGTTCAATAGTTGTCCTAATCGACATGGAATAATCATTAAAAGCTTATGATGTAAATTCTCCAACATTGTCAAGTCGAATTTTCATAATTGGGTAATCGAGAAATTGTGCCCTTAGGCAAATTATTTATGCAAGTAATCTTGCAAAAACCAAATTATTACTAGACAACAAGCACACATGTGACCATTTAGTTGACGCGTCCATTAAAACCATAAAATATATAAATGATCCACATGGTGTTGGATGAATTAGTTCATATATATCCTCTTGAATTCTTTGTAAGAAACTAAGACTTTCATACCCAAATTTGTTCAATGATGGACTGGAAATTAATTTTCCTTGAGAGCATGCAACACAATTCATTATCTTAAAAAATCTTCGGGTTTTTCAAGGAATGACAACTTGAAGTTTCATTTATTCTACATACCATAATTGATACGGGATGGCCCAACCGGTCATGCCAAACTATGAAGGTAATATCATACCTTTTTTTTATTTTCAATAGCATGCATCATTGTAATATTTTCAATAGCATGAATCATTGTAATATTTGTATAGTACAATCCGGAGGACAATACATGTAATTTAAAAAAAAAAAACTTTTCTTATCCGATATTATTTTTGTAATGTTGAGATAATTTTTATTAGCATCATTAGTTGTTTCAATATGATATCCGTTAGACCGAATATCCTTAAAGCTTAATAAATTTCTTGATGATTTTAATGAAAATAATGCATCACCAATTGTAATAATGCATCACTAATTTGTAATTAGTGTCCCTTGTTGTAATATTATATTCGCTCTTCCGGAGACTTCAATCATTTTTTCATTACATGTTATTATATTAACATTTTCTTCTCTAATTGATAAGTAAGCAAAATACTTTTCATTATTAAAAATGTTATGTGTTATTGCATTGTCTGCAAGAAATATATCTTCATTAATTCTTTTGCGAATATCCATATTTCTTTTCAATAAATAAATAAAACAAAAGAAACATTCGACTTAGAGACATAAAGTCATATTTTATTAATTTGGAAAGATTGTGACGACATCATTTCTCATGAAACAGATATGACATAAAAACATATTAAATGTCATGAAACAGAACTACACATTATTCTGATCAATCACCATCCATATCACCACTTGTCCCTTCTAGGTAGACAAGAAAATCGATAACATCCAAATATGTCATTTCTGGTTGGTCTTAATGAATATCACTTTGAAAAAAAAATTGTTTCGATATTTTTCTTTATATTTTAGAGAAGTTTGATAAAGATCAACAAAATGCTTTGGTAAGCGGCATGTACAAGACCAATGATCGGTCATTCCACATCAGTGACAAACATTTTCAACTTTCTTTTTTGCCTTGACCACTTTTATCATTAGGATATGAATTTTTGCTATTTTCCAACTTCTGGTGGTTACTTGTTATATTGTTATTTTTATGATGATTATAATAACCTCCACGACCTCGCTTAGACACATGACTATTATGATTATATAATTTTGCATTCACTTCAGGGAATGCACTAGAACTGATCACGATTAATTGGTGATTTTTCATCAATAACTCATTGTCTTGTTTAGACACAAGTAGACATGAGATTAATTCATATTTATTTTAAACCTTTCCCATGATATTGCTACTGCAGGAGCATGTTAGTACTAAGAAAACTAGAGAAAGTTTTCTCTAGCATTGTTTTCCGTAATGAAAATAGAAATCAAAATAAAGACTTGTATGTTAAGGAATTGTTAGTTACGAAATTCCATAAAATAAGTTTTAAGCATTGTCCATGTAAAATTATAAAAAATACATACCTGAAAATTACAAGAACAATAAGGAGTTAGAGCTTTATGATAGAGTTGTGCTGATAACGTGTTATAAAATATGATCAAATAACAAGATAAATTAGTAAAGAAAGACAAGAGAGTATAGAGAACTTTTATTCCAACACTTGTGATGAAATCATCAAACTTTACAATACATAATATTCACTATTTATACTAGACAAAGAAGATGAAAGGTGATGTATGATATCAATGCTCGTTATAGTGGTGCATAACTATACTCATACAACTCATAATAATGTTTGCTATAATGTTCAATAATTATGGAGAGTAATGGAGGAATATGGAGAATCCAATAGTCATTCACTAAATAATAATTCATAACAGATAGCTTCATGTAAGCTACATTTCAAGTAATGAATAGAGGTATACACACCAGTTGTAAATCGTTTTTTTTAACCCAACTATCTTTAATTCGGTTTTCATTAATATAGGTTCGGCTTTTTGAAAATGATTTTTTTTCCGGTTAATTGTTTAATTCGGTTCAATTTTTTTTAGAAAAACCGGTTTCAGATATTAAAAAATACTTATTAATAGTCGGTGGTTTGTTTTTTAATAGGTTTTTATTAAGAAACTGGTTTAAAATATGCACCTCTAGTAATGAGTAGGGGTGTAAATGAGACAAACCAACTCGCAAGAAACTCGAGACCGACTCGGAAAATACTCGAAATCGACTCGACCTTAATCGAACCGAGCTACTCAAGTACCTTATCAAGCCGAGCTCGAGTACAAAAATACTCAGCTCATAAGGCTCGCGAGCTTAATGTAATTTACATATATGTCATTTCTTTATAATTGTTCATTTATAAGATATATGTCATTTCTTTATAATTATTCATTTATGACATATATGGTTGATGTTATACTGATATTCGATGATTAATACTGTTTTTTTTTGTTAGTTTGGACATTTATATGTGGAATGTTTAATCTTTCTTACTTAATTTAGTGATTTTTGTTTTTTTAAAATATTAGTCGAGCCGAGCCGAGCTCGAGACTGTCTAGTATTTCACGAGCCCGAGCTCGAGCTTAAAATCAAGGCTCGAGCCGAGTTTCGAGCTCAAGTATTTTAGTCGAGCCGAGCTTCGAGCTTGATAGTATTCGGCTCGACTCGGCTCGTTTACACCCCTAACTAATGAGTTGTGATTCATTGAATCATTTGACATTTCGTCAAAAGTATAATTATTTTTCCATTTTTTTGTCCTTTTTATATGACATAATTGCATGTTCTTTTCTTCTCAAAAATCTAATCTGAAATTTCATATCCTTAAAAAAAATTAAATTCATTTTATACTTTTAAGGAAAATTAGAACTTGTGAAAGTCTATGTGATTTCTTTTTAGTTATTTGGTAATCTTTTAGGGAGCATTTGGTTGGTAGAAAAATAATAAAATTTGAAGGAAAATGATTCTAATTTCCTCAAATTCATGCATTTGGTTGGACTTAAAAGGTGGAAAGAGATTTCTAAATGAAATAAACTTTCTACCATATGGACGAAAGTGAATTCCTTCTAAAGTTAGATGAAAAACTTTTATTCTCATCAAGAAAAGTGACAAATTACAAAAATACCTCATTACCACTAGTGCTACCGACCAACAATCGTCACGACCACCACCACCTACCACCACCGCTACCACCACCACAGTCGCTACCACCAGCTACCAGCTACCACCTCCGTCATGATCACCACCACCACCACTACCATTACTCGATACCAACAACCACCGTGCCACCACCACTACCATTACTCACCACCATCACCACCACAACTACCACCACCTGCCACCAACAGCCACCATCGCTACTACTACCACCGCCTCCGCCACTACTACCACCACCATTACAATCATCGCCACCACTACTACCTCCATCGCCACCGCCACCACCACCACCACTACCACTACCACTATCGTCACTGCTACCACCATTACCTTCACCCACTATCATTACCATCACCGCTACCAACACCACTGTTGTCACCACTACCACCGTCTCCGCCACTATTACCACCACCCACCACCATTATCATTGCTGTCACCACTACCACTACACCACCACCTCCATCGCTACCACCATTACCACCGCCGCCACTACCTCCATTGTCATCGCAGCCTCCACCACTATCGTTGCCGCTACCACCATTACCATCGCCCACCTCTACCACCCCTACCACCACTACCATCGTTGCTGCCACCACCACCACCGCCGCCACCACCATTACCATCACCTAGCACCACTAACACCGCCGCAACCAACACAATTCCACCATTACCACCGCTACTGATGTTACTGCCGTGATTTTACTATTTTTATAATTTATATAATGTATCTTTATATATAAGTTATAAAAATAAAGTAATATTTAGCAAAAGAGACAAAGAGAGTAACTATGTAATTTTACATGGATTACAATTCCATTTCTTATGAACCAAACAGAATCTGGATATAATTCTAATTCCATTTTGTGCCGACCAAACATGATCTGAATTGGATTCAAATTCCTAATATATTTATTTTCCAATTCCAATTCCAATTCCTTCATATACATTATGTGAACCAAACAACAGTTTATGAAATTATTAAAAAATTAGGATAAATTTGATATTTTTTCTCAATATTTACTTGATATTCAATCAAACTTAATTCATAATTATGATCATAGGTTATAAATCATATTGTTATATAAATGCTTTATCTTAAGAGTGATTTCGTAAGATATCTATCATAATAACTATAATGACATTGACATGAAAGAGATAGACCGAAGGTTAGAATTTAGAAACGATGCGGTTTAGTTTGTTTGAGAGTGAGATGGCCCGATACTCCAATAGTGTTCGGGATTAAGGTGGACCAAGTGGGTTACGGGCAGGGGGGGCAGAGGGGGGTAGGGGCAGGGGCAGCTTTTTCTTTTTCAGTTTTAATATTTACATTTTTATTTTGCTTTTGAAAAAGCATACTTACAGACATCTCCCTCTTTAGGATTCTTCTTCTCAGACAAACATCACTCCTTCAAATCATCATTCCTCCTACTCTCTCTTTCTCTCTCTCCAGAACCATAACCATGTGGAACACTTTACTATTTTTTTGACTCAATAGTACTCACACATTCATCACTCTTCTCTGTAAGTACATCTCTTTCTCTCTCTTATTTAGGGTTTCTCTGCTTATATTTCCTAATTCTTTTTGCTAATTTGTGTTCATGATCTTTGTTTTCTGAAGAAATAAACTTATATCGTTAGATGATCGTGTGTTTGGCTGGTTTAGCTGGAAATTTTTGAATATAGTTGGTGTAGTTGTTGAAATGTAGTTGAAAAAGCACTTGTGATTGAGACACAATTTATTAAAAATCATTTTTAGCGTCTGAACAAAACAGAAAGTTTATAAAATATCGGTAGACGATGATTTAAGGTCTTCTGAAACCTAGTTTTCGACTTCGTTTTCAGTATAGTTGATTTCTCCTATTTCATGTTAAAAGTGAACATGCTTCTTCGTTTCTTTATTTTTCTTAATGTTTTTTCTTATTATTTATATTCTTCTACTAAATTCCTACTCATTTTGTAGGTTTCTTGTTCATCGTTATTGCCACTGATTCTTTTGAAAGTTAATTGATCCGTAGCCTTTGAGGTTTCTTTGTTAAAACTGCAAGTAGATCTGCTATCCTGCTATGATTTTTCTTTTTCATACTCCATTCTATGGAAAAAAAATCAAGTTTTGACTTTTCAGAATCAGATTATATAGCATCTATGATTTCTCCCTACAAAGTCAAATTAAGACTGTAATATACTAATATCTAGCTAACATACTTTTATCAACACAATATAAACTATGGGATGATGAATGATCTATATTTTCCTCTAGTAATCATATACTCCTTTTAGTTTGTAGAACATATAATAAGAAGAATGACAAAGGTAAGCCCTGAAGTTGACAATGAGATGCAAATGCAAGCTGTTTTGTCAGTATCTGCAGATGCAAGTTTCACATCAAACAAGTTCCCAAAATATAAATTAGGTCCAGATAATCAGATTCTTGATGAAGCAACCATGGATAATAAGGGCCCACCATTGAAAGAAATAGTAGCACATGAAACCGATCAGCTTTCAGAGCAACATGAACGCCTCTCAGTTCGTGACCTAGCCAGTAAATTTGACAAGAATCTGTCTGCTGCAGCTAAATTGTCTGATGAGGTATAAATAGAACTATGAAAGGTTTTTAAACATAAAAATCTTATTTTTGTCATTATATGTCTTGATAAATACTGCTTTGTGTTGTTATGTGTAGGCCAAATTAAGGGAGGTGGCTTCTTTAGAGGGACATGTGCTTTTAAAGAAACTGAGAGATGCTTTGGAATATTTGAGAGGTCGATTAGCTGGTAGAAACAAGGAAGATGTTGAAAAAGCTATTTCTATGGTATACCCTTTATTCAAGAAGCTTCATTTTATGACAAAAAACCAAATATCAAAACTCAAAATTGATTTAATTTGTTGTGATAGGTGGAAGCATTGGCAGTGAAGTTGACTCAAAATGAAGGGGAGTTGATACAGGAGAAGTTTGAAGTGAAGAAGCTTGCAAACTTTCTCAAACAGGTAACTTTGTTTGTTCATTGGGAAATGAATTACAATTTACAACAATAATAACTAATTCATTGTAATTTCATGACATGAGAAAAATGATATTATTATTTTTTTTCTCGCAGGCTTCAGAAGATGCTAAAAAATTGGTAAACCAAGAAAGATCTTTTGCTTGTGCAGAAATTGAAAGTGCCAAAGCAGTTGTAAGAAGAATTGGGGAGGCTCTTGTGGAGCAAGAAAGAGTATCACAAACTTCAGGAAAACAGGTAACATACTAACATGCTTATATAATTATAAATTTTAATACTTTCTGAGTTTCTGTTTACTAGATATAATTTTTATCAAAAATTAATTTAAATATACTTTTATAGTTGAAGAAGGTATTTGACTGATTTGCTTTCAGGAAATGGAGGAGATGGTGGAGGAAATCCAACAGGCTAGAAGAATTAGATTAATGCATCAACCCTGCAAGGTGTGCTTAAAACTTATTATTATCTTTAATTTTGTAAAAAAAAAAATGATTGCATTATGGTTCCTTCATGCATATATTGTTTTTTATTCACACTATTTTGTCCTTTTTCTAAGTACTCAATATCATTTCTACAAATATTCCTCATCCTTTTATTTAATATGTGGCTCTTATCTCCACCATATAATAATCCAATTTAATATTACAACTTTCATGTGGTATCATTAAATTAATTTTTTTATCATTTTGTTTTGTAGGTGATGGATATGGAACATGAGCTTCGAGCCTTGAGGCTACAAATCCAAGAGAAGTCTGCATTCTCAGTGAAGCTTCAACAAGAGGTGATTAATGTCCAAAATGCCCTTCAAGAATATACTAATCTAAATCACAATTCTTTTGGGACAAGGGAGTAAATTGTAATTTGTGTCTGAATAATGCAGTTACTGCTGAAAAAATTAACTGAGGAGAACAAGTTAAGTTTATATTCTTTAGGAGATTCAGGAAATTTGGGTTCAATTTTACGACTTCAACCCTCTTCAGAAGAAGCCATGGAGCTCTCAAAATGTTCAATTCAATGGTTTCGTTTATCTTCACAATGTAGCAGAAGAGAGCTTATTTCAGGTGCTTATTACATATATATAATTCTATTTATTATTTTATATTTATATACTAAATTTAATTTTTTTTCAACAGGTGCTAACAAATCAGTTTACGCCCCTGAGCCTTATGATGTTGGACGAATTTTGCAAGTTGATATCATCTCAAATGGTCAAAAATCTACAGTCACCACAACTTCTCCTATACAACCTGGTTTGTTTTTTTTTTCTATTTTTTATATTATTATAATAACTAATAACTAACTTTATATTTATGATTTTGTTTTTTTTTTTTTTTGCAACAGCTGTTGGGTTGGAGAGTTATGTGGAGTCACTTTCTCGAAAAAGCAACTCCGAATTTAGTGTATGTTAAGTTGTTTTTCGACAATAGATGTTTGACAATTAGTGAAAATTCCAAAAATACCCTTTGACAAACGGAGGAATCTTTTGACCAACAGGTGGTGATCTCCCAGATGAATGGACGGAATTATTCGTCACATTCTGCGCATTTATTACGTGTCGGGAAAATGAGAATGAAGCTTTCAAAAGGATGGATTACAAAGGCTAGGGATGCTTATTCCTCTACATCAATGCAGGTAAACTTTTTATAAAATTAAGCTTATAAATTTTTGAAAACAATATTATTAGTTTTATTTTATATTATATAACATGGATAAATTTCAGCTTTGTGGATTTAGAGGAGGTGGGAATCTTGCTGGAAAATCATTGTTTTGGCAATCAAGAAAAGGCCAGTCTTTTGTTTTGGTGTTTGAATCAGAACGTGAAAGGAATGCTGCGATTGTTTTAGCAAGAAGACACGCACTTGATTGTAATGTAAGAAATAGCAACCTACTTTTTGTTTTACATTATTATTATTATTATTATTTATTTATTTTTTGTATTTAAATGGTTGTGAAAATGGTAGGTGGTGTTGGCTGGACCAGATGATCAAGCATCACTATATCTTCTCTGACTTGACTAATGAAGGAATGTGAGATTGATTATTTCATTTTTTTTTTCACGTGTAATTTTTTGTGTGTTTATTTTATTTGTGGGTGTGTTTTAATTGGGTTTCAACTAATTTGATGATTCGTGCATCCTTTATAGGCATAGTTTTGGTTTGCCTGTTGATTGGTTGTAACATTTTTTTTTTTTTTAAATAGTTGTTCGTTTGCATCTTATTTGCATTTCTAATATAACAATTGAAGTTTTTAATTTTTATTTTTTATCATTTACAATTTGATAATATATTGTCCAGTTAGTTTTTCTATTATACCTAGTTGATCCACTATTTTTATAAAATACAACCCAAATCATGATGTGTCGATATTTGTAAATTAAAATTGTGATCGCTAAAATAAATTATGCAGTTGTCACTACTATTCTTTTTTATATTCCATCTTGACTATAATTTCGGTGTTACAAATTTTAACAAATATGTTATTGAACATGATAGTTTTTTTTAAGTAAATTGGAAGATATTTTATTAATATTAGAATAAAAAAAGAATCACGTAACAAAATGAAAGCTAGTAATTATAATTTAAAAGAAAGTAAGTTGCTTTTTAGGTCTTATCCATAAAAAGAAAGACATGTCGCTATCTGTAGATGGATGGGATATTTTTTTTATCCGGTAACACTCCATTATCAACAAAATAACAACCTGGATATTTTTGTTTTTTGTTTTATCGATATAATACAAAACTACTATCAAAGTTCAATCTCAATCAAAACATTACCAAAATATAATCAAAATTATAGGTGAATAATAGTTATCAACTTTAGCATACCACCAAACATTATACTACATCATCAATACTATATAAAAGTTTTTATTCATGCATTTGCACAATTCGTTTTTTTTTTTTTTGGTATGTAGCGTTTGAAAGCTTTTAATTCTTATGAAAAAAGTTTGAAAAAAAAAATTGTTCAAAGAACTTTTAACTTTTATTTTAAATACAAAATTGATAATCCAAAAGCTATTTCAAGTAGTTTTTGGGAGCTTTTAACTTTGATTTTTTTTTTTTTTTTAAATCTAATTTTACACGTTTAATAGCTACAAACTATTTTTTATTGGATTCTTCTGCACAACTAGTATAATATATCTTTCACTCTTGCCTAGTTGCCTATTGCCTAACCACTATATTTGCATTCACGAAAACAGGAAACTCATATCACACAACAATTACGTTTAGCTCTTCATGGCAGTTTGAGTTTACACAATATAAATATCGAAATAATTGAATAAACAGTTATATACACACATTTAAGAAAATAAACTTATTTGTATAAAACGTGTTTCCATAAAAACATGATAGCTCTACTTTTATATTTTTCGATACCCAAAGGCCAAAGGTGTCATCATTAGCAAGTGGGGGAGACCCACTCTTATCAATTGACGGAGTACATCAAATAAGCCAGATAAATCGACTTAAACAATTATTTATGCAAAACATTTGTATTCAAAACGATAAAAATATGTATGGAGTTTGAGTCCTTATACGTTATACGTCTTTAACTAAAAAAAATTTCAATTAAATTTCATAATTTAAGACAAAATTTTAAATACTTAATATTTAATAAATATTTATACTTGTATATACATCATCCATATAATTTCTCATAAATATCTAAGGTACTATTACGTCCTTATTGGTTGACAAAGGTATACTATTTAATTTAACTATGATAAATCTCAATATCCCAGTTAAGTAATTACACAAATAGTAAAAATACATTCGTGACCCATTTACTTTTAGAAAATTGGTAGTATGATTTATTTTATTATATTTAGTAATAAAAACTTGATACTTTTTGGAGTATGACAGAGAGAATTTAATATTGTCATAAATCAACCTACTATAAAAATATACAATAAAATTGTTCACAATCTCTTTTACTCGATGGTCCCTTACCTATCACCTATACGCAAAATAAATAAATAGCATTTAAACCAAACTTTATAAAAAGGTATTAGTATTAGTATAATAAGATGAACCATTTGAAGGACGATAATTAGTCATTACCCAAAAAAAGAAAAAAAATACAAAATAAACATTATACTAACAAATTATTGGGAAAGTATTTTTCATTTGTGTTCTTGATTCATCCACATAAAAATAATAATAATATATTCTGACATTTATATCTTTCATTTTAGTCACTACCGTCCCATTAGTCTTATATGTTGTCTTTACAAGATCATTTCCAAAGCCTTGGCTACCCGCCTCAAAAGAGCTATTGGTTCCGTGATCGACGAAGTCTAAACCAGTTTCATCGAGGATTGGAACATTCTTGATAGTCCCATGATCATTAACAAGATTTCCGGGCTAAGCAGACTAAACGTAGCACCTTCCTTCTCAAAGTTGATTTTGACAAGGCCTTTGATCCCATTAATTGGAATACTTGGACTCGATGATGCTCCAAATGGTTTCGGTAACGGTTGGAGATTTTGGATCATGGGTAGTTTGGTGGCTTCAAGAGCATCAGTTCTAATTAATGGTGTCCCAACAAAAGAATTCTCATTCACCAAAGGCGTTTGTCAGGGAGACCCTCTCTCTATGCCTTTTTATACAAGGTTCTCGCTTCTACTGGGTTGACATACCTAATAATCTATATCCCACCTTTTTATGCGGACAATGCTTTATTTGTTTGGTGGTTGGACTCATTCAAATTTCATGAATCTTTACCGGATCCTCAAATGTTTTCACATCGTCTAAGGCTTAAAAGCTAATTTCCATAAATACACGGTTTATGGGATTGGGGTTTCCAACTCTGATATTACTAATTATGTAGACATTATGGGTTATGAAGCGACTGTCCTTCTTTTCACTTATCTCGGGGTTCCCGTTGGTGCAAATATGAAGCTCGAAGAGAAATTGGAGGCCGATTATTGAGAAAGTCCAAAGTAAACTCTCTTTTTGGAAGTCGAAGACTCTATCCTTTGGCAGAAGATTGACACTCGTTAAATCACTTCTTGGCAGCTTACCCTTACTCTGATTCTCTATTTTTTAAGGCTCCGACTTCGGTTCTTGATGCTTTGGAGAAGCTTCGCAGAAGATTTCTTTGGGGAGGTAACGAAGAAAAAACTAAAATTTGTTGGGTGGCGTGACGTGGAATCATGTTCTTGCTGCCAAAGACTCATGCGGTCTTGGAGTATGATATCTTAAAAGTTTAAATATTTCTCTGCTATGTAAACGGTTCTAGAGATTAAAGGCAAAGACCATCGCGTTGTGGCAACGGGTTATATATAGAATTCATAACTTTGCTCACAAACCTATTTATAACCTCTCTCAGCGATCCATGCCCGATATTTGGTGTAAAATATTGGATTCTCTTCATGAGCTGGGAATTGATTTATCTTCTCTTTTCTCATATAAAATTGACTCTGGTAACGGGACCCTCTTTTGGATTGATAACCGCACTGGGGATGGTAATCTTTCATCTCGATTCCCCAATCTCTTTGCGTTGGAAAAAATTAAATATTGTTTTATTTCCAACAGTCTGAGAAATCTAAGATTGAGAGGATTAGGGGTGAGATCTCCATATTTCTGTCGGATAGTCGTGGTTTGTTGACCCGTTGCGGTCGAGTGTGGGTTCCTTTGTCTAGTGGCTTCATACAGATTATGTTGGAGGAGGCCCATAAGTCTCGCTTTTCTATCTATCTGAGGGCCACCAAGATGTACCGGGATTAGAGACTGAGTTACTGGTGTTCGTGCATTAAGAGAGAGATCGCTTGGTATGTTGAGAGGTGCTTGACCTACAGTATGGTCAATGCCGAGCATCAGAGGCCGTATGGAAAGTTGTAGCCTCAGGAGGTTACCATGTGAAAATAGGAGCAGATTTCGATGGATTTCATCACTAAGTTGCCAAATACGGTGAAGGGTTCTGATGTTATTTGGGTCATCGTGGGTCGATTGACCAAGAGTGCCCATTTTCTGGCAATTCAGGAGAGCTCGTCGGCTGAGAAGTTAGCCGATGTGTATATTCCTGAGATCGTTTCTCATCATGGGGTTCCGGTCTCTAATCTTTCAGACTGTGATGTTCGTTTCACCTCCCGTTTCTAGTAGAAGTTCCACGAGGAACTGGGCATGGGGATGCATTTCAGCACAACTTATCATTTCCAGACCGACGGCCAGAGCGAGCGGACCATTCAGACTCTCGAGGATATGTTGCGAGCCTATGTCATTGATTTTGGTGGGAGTTGGGACTCCTACCTACCTCTTGTTGAGTTTTCCTACGACAACAATTTCCACTCCAGTATTAGTGCTCCGCCTTTTGAGCTGTTGTATGGGTGGAGGTGTCGTACCCCAGTCTGTTGGGGCGAGGTTGGCCATAGGGTCATGGGTCGGACCGAGGTGGTTCTGCATACCACAGAGATGATTCAACAAATCAGGCAAAGATTGCAGACTGCTTAGAGTTGGCAGAAGAGTTATGCCGAACGGCGCCAATCTGAATTGGAGTTTCAGGTCGATGACATGGTGTTGCTAAAGGTCTCACCCTAAAAGGGTGTGATTCACTTCAGGAAGAGGGGGAATTTGGGCCTTAGATATATTGGACCATTTTGGATTATTTCCAGGTTAGGAAAGGTTTCGTATAGATTGGATCTTCCGAAGTATCTTAGTCACATTCATAGCACCTTCCACTTTTTGCAGTTGTTGAATGGGACTTCATGGGCTTGGAAGAGGAAACCATGGTTTTATCCCTTTGTCAACTCCGAATACTTGGGTTTTTTAGCTTTCCGGGGATGGTATCCCCTCCTCCTTGGCCCTCTCTCGGAGGGAGTTTGTGTTACTTCTATCGAGTGTCAAATGTGTTCCACTGATACGGAGTCCACCAACCATTTTCTTAAGAAGATTCGCACCCATCCTTCTAAAGTGGCGGATAACATCATTTCAAGTGTTTTTGGTAGGGTCAATGTGACATCCCCAATTTCACGGTCAGAAAAGACCGATTTGTTTATGCTTTGTTTTTAAAATCAGAGTAATCGTTTAAAGAAAATTGTTGCGGAATTTGTCCCCAAAACAAGATATGATAAGAATTTATCAAAGCATTTCTTAAAGAAGAGTATTTTTATTATATAACAAATCTCGGGATGTCATGTTCCGATACAGACACATATGTCTTCGTATTGATACCTATGATACAAAGAAAACTGAGTGGGTCAGGCTTGGGAGCCTGGTGAGCATATAGGGTTTTCAACCCACAATAATACATTTGTTATATTCAATTATCAACAATCAACCCAAATACCCATC